AAAAAAAAAAAAAAAAAATGAATATACATTTATGATGAAAGGGAGCACAAACTCAGTGTAAAATGCAAATAGAACAATGTATAAAATAAAATTTAACAATATGTGTATGCAAGTCAAATGACTATATCTATATTAGATTTCATATTCTACAGTAAAATCTGACAAACTGAAACCTATAAAATGGGGTGATGTTTAAAATTAGTCATATAATATAAGCCAGCTGGATAATACACAATACATCAATCAGCATTTACCTACTTTAGCTTAGATGGGACATAAAGGAAACAGAAAGTAAACAGTCGTGGTGTGGTGACTGCACCACGAGTTCATCACACTGAAAACTGTGGGCAGCGCACTGGAGCATGCTGCCAGTGGTGTGGACACCAATCCTTCACAGACCAAGCGGGGACAGTGAAGAGCCACAGCCTTTTCTGAATTCACAGAGGTTATAAATACATACTTATTTTGCTACACTTTAAAATATTCAAACACATGAATTATTATGCTAATATTTGTTCTGATTATTAAAAAAATGAATGATTATTATAAGATATTTTAAAGATGTCAAATGTTTACTATAAAATTTGGCATTCGTCTGTCATCTTTATCCTCAATGAAACCCTGAGTTCAGCGTTCTGAGTGTATTGTACAACTTCCTTTCCTACGACCGCCCAGGTTCTGTCAATTATTAACACACTGTGTCTAACATCTTCACTGCTCATCATCTGGAGGAAGCCNCTCACTCCCAGAGCTGAGTCCTCTGCTGATCAGGGTCAGGGTGCTCAGCTCAAGCCTAATCGGATAAACTGACAGACTCCACTATCTCCTGTCCAGAGAAGGGGTGGGATCTTCTCCCTCCTAGGAGAAACTCGGAGCTTTTCCATCTAGGGATGGATCTCCAGGACCATGCTCTGGGGCTGGGATGAGCCAGCCCTCAGCAGGGAAGACATAGGCCGCCTGGGTGGCCATGGCATATAAGGTCTGCACTGCAGTGCACAGAGACCCCCGGAGCTGGGCAAGATCACACAACTGCTCCCTGGTCAATGGAGAATAGATTTGCTGGGCCTGTACCTGAGCTATGTCTTGATAAATGACCTCACACATAGCACGCAGGAAGGCCACCAGGCTTTTCCGAAGTGGTGGTGGGCGGTGTCTTAGGGACCCAAATCTTGGCTTCTTGNTTTCTTTTCTGAAGTCAAGCTGTGCTCATCTCCTAGACAGTTCCCTGGGGAGGAAGCAAGCAAGTGAGAGACTTGCCAGAAAAGTCTCCACAAACCTCATTCCCGGGATCTCACCATGCACCTTCAGGTGAACTCCACTTGTCTCTCCTGCTCCTTCCTGACCCCCTGAGTCTCCATAATGAAATGAGGCTGAGCTCATCATAGGTACCAAAACACTCTCTGAGTCCCAGGATCTCTAAAACCCTCTCAGATGCTGAAAAACATCCTTT